AAGTTTTGTAGTTAAATGAATTGAAATATTGTATTTGAGCCAAAAGTTTATTCTCACTTTAGGAGAAAGAAATAAATATATGAAATACAGTAATGTAAATGTAGTACCTAGTAATAAAATTGACAGTTTGAGTTTTAGCGATAAAAACATAATAATTCGAGCGTAATAGCGATAGAAATGTGACAAATTGTTTATAGTTTCATTAGAACAATAAATGTAATATGAAAAACAATAAAATTTGCGAAAAGTTTGAAAAATACGTACCGACTAGTGGGAATATGTTTTTAAAAAATATAGTTAGCAACATAAAATTGTAAAATGCGGTAAGAAAGTTTGATTATTATTAAAAAATATATGAATGACCACTGTGAGCATAGTTTTTTAAAAAGATTGTAGACAATGAAAAAAATTTATAACATTGATTTTGAATGTTAAAATGGAACAATAACTTGTCTAAAAATGCAGCACATTAATAAATATGTTACATTTATATAGTTTCTGCTATTTTTACGAGATTGCTGCAAATATTATTAGAAGTTAGATAAATATCTCAAATTACGCGCTTATCTCAAATTTAGGTCCTTTCCTCTACTAACTTAAATTCTTTGGAAATAATAGGTAGGTTTTGTTTTAAAACAACATCAAATAAATCTTAGTGCTCTTATTTAAGGGCCGATTTTCTATTAAATATTAAAAAATCCACTAACTAAAGGTTTTATCGGCCTAATTGCCACATTAGTTAATTAATCTTTTAATATTCATTATGAAATCGGCCCTTAAACAAAAACACAAAACTATATTTAATTGTATTTTTAACAGGGAGTATTTTTTTTACTTTAAATAGCTGCGTCAGGCATTTTGAATAATATATTTGTAGTTGCAGGATTAATAACGTGAAGCATATAAAAAAAAAGAAAAGTTTGGTGAAGGAATGCCGGGCATGTTACGCTGCAACTATGATAAATAATCTGTCTTCATATATCAAGATTATCTAAATAACACCCATCCGTATTCATATCCCACACCAACTGTGGTTGTTTTTCGTATTCGCCTCACAAAATGCGTTCGTTGGTTTCATATAAAAATGCAATGATTTGAAATTCTTATCTATGTAAACTTTAAACGTTTATGTTGCACAATTAAATAGAATGTAATTTCGTTATGCCCACAAAAATAAAATATTTAGAACCCAAGCTATCCAATTCGCTTGCAGGCGGAACTTATATAAATAAACTTGAACGCGATAGTGTTAGTTTACATTTTTGTTCGTTATGTATCTTTAAAAAAAATTGTTTCCTATTTTTGTACCTAGTTGTTAATTTGTTGTACATTACACTTCATATCTATAGTTGAAAGGCGTAAGGATATAAACGAGAAATTCGCAAAATTGAGTTTCTAAAGCAACAAATATTAATGCAAACGAATGCTAGTATCAACCAGAAATTACATAATTTATGCCAATATTCTTCTGCTTAGCGTAAAAATATGCATATAATTTTTTAAGATTGACATGTTTACAAATGATGTATAAATAATGAATTTAGATGTGGTTTAATGTTAGAATGGCTTCCAGATGAAGATGTTATGAAGTTTTATGTATGTACTGTAACGTGTCTGTTAAAAATAACAACTTGTCCATCATAACCCCGTTATTGTGAAATTGAATATGATAAAACAACTATTTTCGTAGTGTGGTTTGAATGTTGGTATATATTGTAATGGTATCAATAGTGTATCAATACAATATTGTATAGGACCTTTCAATTGAAGCAGTTGTACTATTAAAATTTGAAACTTAGTATCATTTTAAAAATAATAATAATAATAATAATACTCTCCCTAATTCACCCCTCTTACGAGTGAATTTTAACCCCAAAAGCTGAGCTTGTGCGGGGAAAGGGACGGCTATTATTATTATTTGCCGTGGCGCTCCGGGGCGACTTAAAGATGATTGATGGTGCCATTTAACTTAAAGGTGAGGAAAACCTCACCCACCATCATCGGCACACATCAAATCCTATATCGAACCATGCAATTTAATTAAAAATCCACATGGGGTGGGGTGGGATTCGAAGCCCGGCAGTCTCGGATCATAAACTTGCCTATAAATGAATATAAGCGCGTTAGACTGCTACACCACCGACCCGAAAAGGAACCCACTATCAAATGTAAACAATTATAGAAATAAGTACAGTATTTATGATTGAATGTTAGATAATTATAGGTATTTCTGTTGAGATTTCATGAACTAAGACATTTTGTAATTGTGCAGTTTCTAGTAAAACCTATATAACTGTATAAAGGACTAAACCAGTGTAACCAACTTAGTCCTCAAAACAAATCTGCTGAATTTTCTGCATATATTTAAAATTATCATTTATTTTAACAATTAGACCCCCTCAACTACCATTAAAGGAAACGGCATTGACTTGATAAGTTTAATAAATATATTTATGCTTTTTGTTTTAGAATGAACCCCTCGTTCTTTTGATGTGAAAAGTATGTTAACAATTTTGAATATGCGTATATTTTGAATTTCCTTGGAAATTAATCCGGCCAAATAAACAAAAAATTCTTTTTAGCTGCCTAAATTGAACTTGGGAACTCAGTAAAACGACCCGTAATGAAGCGTAAAATAACATTTTTTTTTTCACTGAATACAGCCCAACAAGAAGAAAAAAACGAAAAAGCTTCTGAACGGTAATTTCACCTGAGAGAATCGTAATATTCCGTTATCAAGAGAAAAAGAATCCAAAAAAAAATCGTTTTAATAAAATTCTCGAATAAAATTCAACAATGTGTCAGTGGATATTGAGAATCACTTTTAATCTTGCATACGGGAATCTCTATACTTACTCTGTTGCTGCCGTAGAATATCAATAGGGTAGAAGAATTCTACAGCACACTCGCAATATATAGTAATAGAAAGTATAATATGCTACTTATTTCAATATTTGAAAAGACATTTTAATATTTATGACCGTAAATAACAGTGGTAAGGTGAAAAATATATTTTTACAAGGTGATTCACATATTGATGATCTAATTCTAATACCTCGTATTTGCAAAACATTCAAATTTCACTTTTTCGCCCTATTCAGTTGTACATTTACTCTGTCATTAGTTAAAATACACCATATTAGCTTCGAACAATATTTAAATGAGAAATTTGACAACTCTTATAACCTATATTGCAAACACATATAGCACTATCAAACTGAAAAAAAGCTTCTCCTGTAAAATGTTAGAATTAGACCATCGATATACAATTTCCAAGTAAATATTTTGGAAACTAATAAATAATCGACATTTGTGTATAAGTCAAGTAAATTTATAAAGTTTTCTGATGTCCAGTTGAATGGCATGTTTTTTTATAATAATAAATTAAATTAAACAAAAGTTTAGGTTGCACTTATCATTAGCTGATTCTCACTGTTATCATAAAAAACACACACGACACAAAAGTTTCTGAAATCAGTTACAATGTGTCGACACTGCGTCTGAAGATGCGTATCCACCAAAGCAATATAGAGCAACTTTTGTGTTTCTGTTGCGCGTTAAAAATAAAAAAATATAGCGGGATTTAAGTGGACTAATGATTTAACAAACACAAATTTAAAATTTCTCTCCCGAGAGCATCTAAAAGTTGCAATCTGCCATGTTGATTCCTAGCTAGCGCAATAAACAATCATAAATATTCGGAAATATTCAGAAATATTCAGAAATATTCAGAAATATTCAGAAATATTCAGAAATATTCAGAAATATTCAGAAATATTCAGAAATATTCAGAAATATTCAGAAATATTCAGAAATATTCAGAAATATTCAGAAATATTCAGAAATATTCAGAAATATTCAGAAATATTCAGAAATATTCAGAAATATTCAGAAATATTCAGAAATATTCAGAAATATTCAGAAATATTCAGAAATATTCAGAAATATTCAGAAATATTCAGAAATATTCAGAAATATTCAGAAATATTCAGAAATATTCAGAAATATTCAGAAATATTCAGAAATATTCAGAAATATTCAGAAATATTCAGAAATATTCAGAAATATTCAGAAATATTCAGAAATATTCAGAAATATTCAGAAATATTCAGAAATATTCAGAAATATTCAGAAATATTCAGAAATATTCAGAAATATTCAGAAATATTCAGAAATATTCAGAAATATTCAGAAATATTCAGAAATATTCAGAAATATTCAGAAATATTCAGAAATATTCAGAAATATTCAGAAATATTCATAAATATTCATAAATATTCAGAAATATTCAGAAATATTCAGAAATATTCAGAAATATTCATAAATATTCAGAAATATTCAGAAATATTCAGAAATATTCAGAAATATTCAGAAATATTCAGAAATATTCAGAAATATTCAGAAATATTCAGAAATATTCAGAAATATTCAGAAATATTTAGAAATATTCAGAAATATTCAGAAATATTCAGAAATATTCAGAAATATTCAGAAATATTCAGAAATATTCAGAAATATTCAGAAATATTCAGAAATATTCAGAAATATTCAGAAATATTCAGAAATATTCAGAAATATTCAGAATAATTCAGAAACATTCAGAAACATTCAGAAACATTCAGAAACATTCAGAAACATTCAGAAACATTCAGAAACATTCAGAAACATTCAGAAACATTCAGAAACATTCAGAAACATTCAGAAACATTCAGAAACATTCAGAAACATTCAGAAACATTCAGAAACATTCAGAAACATTCAGAAACATTCAGAAACATTCAGAAACATTCAGAAACATTCAGAAACATTCAGAAACATTCAGAAACATTCAGAAACATTCAGAAACATTCAGAAACATTCAGAAACATTCAGAAACATTCAGAAACATTCAGAAACATTCAGAAACATTCAGAAACATTCAGAAACATTCAGAAACATTCAGAAACATTCAGAAACATTCAGAAACATTCAGAAACATTCAGAAACATTCAGAAACATATTCAGAAACAATTCAGAAACAATTCAGAAACATATTCAGAAACATATTCAGAAACATATTCAGAAACATATTCAGAAACATATTCAGAAACATATTCAGAAACATATTCAGAAACATATTCAGAAACATATTCAGAAACATATTCAGAAACATATTCAGAAACATATTCAGAAACATATTCAGAAACATATTCAGAAACATATTCAGAAACATATTCAGAAACATATTCAGAAACATATTCAGAAACATATTCAGAAACATATTCAGAAACATATTCAGAAACATATTCAGAAACATATTCAGAAACATATTCAGAAACATATTCAGAAACATATTCAGAAACATATTCAGAAACATATTCAGAAACATATTCAGAAACATATTCAGAAACATATTCAGAAACATATTCAGAAACATATTCAGAAACATATTCAGAAACATATTCAGAAACATATTCAGAAACATATTCAGAAACATATTCAGAAACATATTCAGAAACATATTCAGAAACATATTCAGAAACATATTCAGAAACATATTCAGAAACATATTCAGAAACATATTCAGAAACATATTCAGAAACATATTCAGAAACATATTCAGAAACATATTCAGAAACATATTCAGAAACATATTCAGAAACATATTCAGAAACATATTCAGAAACATATTCAGAAACATATTCAGAAACATATTCAGAAACATATTCAGAAACATATTCAGAAACATATTCAGAAACATATTCAGAAACATATTCAGAAACATATTCAGAAACATATTCAGAAACATATTCAGAAACATATTCAGAAACATATTCAGAAACATATTCAGAAACATATTCAGAAACATATTCAGAAACATATTCAGAAACATATTCAGAAACATATTCAGAAACATATTCAGAAACATATTCAGAAACATATTCAGAAACATATTCAGAAACATATTCAGAAACATATTCAGAAACATATTCAGAAACATATTCAGAAACATATTCAGAAACATATTCAGAAACATATTCAGAAACATATTCAGAAACATATTCAGAAACATATTCAGAAACATATTCAGAAACATATTCAGAAACATATTCAGAAACATATTCAGAAACATATTCAGAAACATATTCAGAAACATATTCAGAAACATATTCAGAAACATATTCATAAACATATTCAGAAACATATTCAGAAACATATTCAGAAACATATTCAGAAACATATTCAGAAACATATTCAGAAACATATTCAGAAACATATTCAGAAACATATTCAGAAACATATTCAGAAACATATTCAGAAACATATTCAGAAACATATTCAGAAACATATTCAGAAACATATTCAGAAACATATTCAGAAACATATTCAGAAACATATTCAGAAACATATTCAGAAACATATTCAGAAACATATTCAGAAACATATTCAGAAACATATTCAGAAACATATTCAGAAACATATTCAGAAACATATTCAGAAACATATTCAGAAACATATTCAGAAACATATTCAGAAACATATTCAGAAACATATTCAGAAACATATTCAGAAACATATTCAGAAACATATTCAGAAACATATTCAGAAACATATTCAGAAACATATTCAGAAACATATTCAGAAACATATTCAGAAACATATTCAGAAACATATTCAGAAACATATTCAGAAACATATTCAGAAACATATTCAGAAACATATTCAGAAACATATTCAGAAACATATTCAGAAACATATTCAGAAACATATTCAGAAACATTCAGAAACATAAATAGTGCTTTGGAATATAAATGAGTAGGTTATATTAAGCTACTTATAGCTTAGGATAGCAATGATGTTTTCATGCAAAATTATACTGCCTCTATACTCGTAGACAAAATTAATGCAATAATATCACATAGGTACTATATTAAATTTAACCTCATATTATATAGTATGGGATAGAGAATACATTAATGTTAATTTTGCCTCAAATATTTTAATCCTTCGGGATACATCAACTCACGTCAGGGCGGTTATGTAATCAGTTTTTTTGGGTATTGCCACTCGTATAAAGCAGATGTGATGTCAATTTATTATGTGCTGTTCAGATGTTTTTAAAATCTGATTGCTACGAAAATTAGATGCATTTCACTGGGTATGTATTGCTTATTAGGTATGTGCTATGTGCAGTGAGTTAGTATATTCAACCGACAACGCTCTACCACAAAGAACTGTCATGAATTGATGATTTTTGATATGGGAACATAAACACTTAAAGAGCTTAGTTATAGAGATAGAGGGTGTTAAAAGTGTTTAACCAAAATTCAAAATTTTCCATAAGTCAAAAACGTTTTTAAATATTTTTTTTTTAATTTACCAAGATCTTGTCGAATACACTATTAAAAATTTGCTCCGTGACTACTATATTCAAATTTAGAAATATTGAGTCGGTATATGCAGACTTTTGTTTAGAAGTAAAGGTTAGTAGTTTTTTAACTGAAAATGAACAGAGAATTTAAAAAAAAGAATAAAAATTAAAAAAAACTTGGCCAAAATCCAAAAACAGAAATTACAATACATGATTGCAATAGAACCGTACTACTAGACTAATCCATTCATTCATAATTAAGCCTTTTTTCATTGCACCCATTCAGATTGTTTTTATTATTAACGCATACAGAGTTGTTGCATGGGTTGCCGCATTAGAAAGAAAGAGACAGCTGCTAATTTGAGTGGGGATGGTTTGTGCGAGTATGTATATCTGAGGAGCGAACATGCGTTTTATAAATAAATCAGTATTTACGTCTACTACATTTGTTTTACACGACTGTCATACTTTATTAATTGCATACTTTCCTGAACAAAACTAAACAACCATAATGCTTGCAACGAGAAAAATATACTTCTCTAATGTAATTTTAAAAGCTTGTCTAGTGCTTTAGACTTAGAGCCTTATGTTTGATCAATAGCGAATTATAACTATACATAATCCTTGTAACCATATATAATCCTTGTAACAATATGACACCATGAATGTTTGTAATTCAATTTCTGTAAAAAAAATTAGTCTAGTAGTTATTCGTCGCTGATAAAAACTAAGAAAAATTTATCCATAGGCGCGCTCTCAAGGTTTGCAATTTGTTTTTCTGTTTTTTGATCTCTGGTAATTTTTCATATGTTATTTCTTATAGTGTATTACTCGGAAATACTAAACTCACAATAAATGAATTTTTAACTATGAAAGACTTAAATTGGCTAACTCATCGTGGAATAAAACTGAATACTCTTAATATATTAATTAAACTCGATAGTGTGCATTTAAATTAAATTCATTATTATCTATATAGCTATAAAATATAAATACCAAAATCTATTAAACAAGCTAAATATTTGCTTCCAATATTTTAATTATTTTACGTATTATATTTAGTTTGACTAGTGAATTATAATATTACAGTTATTTTAAGTATATAATATCCAATTATATATTGATCAAATCATGTGTTATATAGGAAACTAAAATTATATTTTTGCAGTGATAAATCAAAAATTTTGTTATGAGCTAAAAATACTTTATTGGGCAAAACAGGATTAGCCCAGTTTATTAGTAATACAATATTTTAAATTTATAATAGTTAATTTTCTTATGATTCTATCATATTTTCACTCTTTAAATATTTAAATTTAGTAAATTCCATATCTTAAAGCAATTCAAAAGTCATAGCAAAACAATACTTATTTTATTTAATTTCCCCTTCCTATTCAACTATAAATTTTATTGAAATTATTTGAACAATTTTAACCATAAATGACCTAAAAAATACAATTAAAACTATACTAATACCTAAGATAAGCTATTGGATGATTTCTTAGTTTGAATCATTGAATTCATTTAGGTGAAGATTCAATTTAGATCAGGTACAATATAAAGCTCAATAATAATAAAAAAATATGCCCAAGAATAAGCGATGTAGTATCGATGTTGCCAGTCGAATGCGCACATACAAGGCCTACTACGTTGGATGACCTGACGAGGACAACATCGTTACTATATCGTTTCTTCTCGTACATATTCGAAATATATTCATTATTTACGCAACGCAGGCCCGAAGGTTTGTTCTTGTTAGCACTGTATATTAGACAATGATAAATTAACATTTTGATTAAAATCGATTAATCAAAGTAAAATATATATTAAATTCACATTAAAAGTTCTCGAATCTACCTATAGAATAATAACCAAATTCATCTGACTTAAAAGATTAATTAATCTGAAACTTATTAATTTAAATTTACCTGCATTAGTCAGTAGCTACTTTATGCAGTAAAACAAATGAAAAATGGTATCTCCATACTTTTCATAAATATCAAATTTTCATTAATCAAGCACAAAATAATATTTATCATTAATTATGAGCATCAAATAATGATACTTAACATATTATTGTGTATATTTTTATTTATTGTTAGTATCGTTTGTTTATTTTAAACAACAGTTTATTTATTTTATTTATTTAAAAACAATACTATTCTAATTTATGTATATTTCGAAGTCTTTAAATTGTTCACTATTTTTCTTCACAACTGTTTGTATACGATCGACTGCTCCGTGTTCCTCCACCAATATTTATATACACATTTAAAATTTTGGTGAAGGTTTCGAATGTTCTCTCGCCAAAATTAGAAACATTATCACGTTCGATCTGGAATGTACTCGAAAGCGCCTTCGCCATAGTCGTCACATATTTTTGGTCTTAAGGGGTTTAATTATGTATGATAATCGGACAAGTTGAGCCTCAAAGGCCAAATAAGATAGAGAGGGACTTGAATAATTAGAGTATGACTGATAAATGAAATGGCTCACATTGCACTATCACTATTTTTTTATTAATAAAAATTCTTTCACAGTGCTCAAACTATTTATAATTTTATTTAATTCACAAATCGATAGATTTAAGTCTAAACTGTTTTCTTTCTGTTTTATTGAAACATAAAATTTGTTAAAGTTAAACAACTTTTACTTTATTCAAAAAACCATACATATTATAAAAATATAGACTCCAACCAATTAAAAAACCAGAATTAAAATATAGATCGTCAGAGAAATATTCTTTTCTCAGACCGAATTACAAGTTTGAAAAGTTTGTAATTTCATCTCAATTTCCTTATTTCCGAATGGGAAAGATTTCCTCGAAGTTGATAAAACTATATTTTCCCAGTAAAATATCGTCTCTTATTGTTAACTCTCCAATTGACAAATGTATTGCAGCACCATTTTACATTAAAATTAAAGTTGTAGTTCTCCATGCAATATCTATTTAATTGAATTTTCCTACCATTTGTTTAAAAAGGAAGAAATTTTATAAAATTTTTGCTACTAAAGCCTGGTATTTTGTGAGCTGATTAATTAATGTTTGAGAATATTTATTAGCTAACATTTATTGTTAAATTCTTGTTTTTAGATGTGGAATATGTGGACCATGCTTATCTAAAAGGAACTAAGCGACAAATTGGCAGATATGAGTTAAAGGTACCCAGCAATAGAAAAAGGTTTAAATACCTTGTATAGACAGATCCAATTACTAGCTATAAATTCAATGAATCGAAGGACACACTAGGAAACATAAATTCATAATTTCAATAAAGAGAACCATTTGCCAAAAATATCTTTAAACTCATGTTTCTAGGTAGTTTAATAAACTTATAAAATTGCGCCTATGATAATATAATAACTATCTGAGAATATTTCACAAAGCTGGAGTTCTCTACCGTCATTATTTTAATAGAGCATTATCATCTTTAACCTGTCTCTAATAACTCAATACTCCAATTTGGTGTTTGGTTCTTTTTAAATAAGCATAATCCATTTCATACCTGAGAATCATAGCTAAACATTTATAATCCATAATTATTAAAAAAGTATCGAGAAAATTTGTAAATTTTCAGAATGATTCTCACAAGTTCTTTGTGCCGTGGAATTAATCTAAATATCTTGTTTTAATTGAATTGCCTCCTTTTCAAAACGAATCATTGCTTTATACCAATAAAAACACAATTTCAACAGCTTTACGAAAACTTCCACTTCACAAAATAGTAGTTACCTACCTAATTTCAATTTATTAAATACCTGCATAAATATCCATCCACTCGAGTTTTCATCAATTCAAAGCGAGCTTCTGTCTGCATTTATTAAATAAACTTATGGAAATTTGCCACTAATTAATTCCCGTACATGCCTCTGATGAAAACGTAAATCCTCTTTCAATGAACGAAAGAAGTTTGAATGAATAAAATATTTCACAGTAGCTTTAATTTGTAGGCATTGATTTAGGAGTCAAATAAATATAAATAATTTCATATGAAATTAAAAATAAGTATAATATAACAACTGTATTAATACATATTATTTTAGTGAATTATTCTTTATAATTTAATTGCTTCTATAGATAAGTTTAAATTTGTTGAACTAGTTATACCAACGAATGGTTACAACGTTGCCAAATATTATCAGTTCAAAATAATATACAAAACTTGCAATACTGCTTAAAATTTCGATACATTAAGAACAATTTATATTTAAACAATAGCCTAATATCAAATCTACTTAAAAAAAATTTAGTTATTAGTTATGATATTTTTAAACTAAGAATTGACAACTTCACATAGATAAAATAAATAAAATAGGAAGCCATATATGTCACACAGAATACGAAAGACCGCTTTCCTTCGGAAAACGACTACTCCTTTGGCAAATACCACAACAGGTATTGAATTACATCCAAAGGAA